GGGGGGGGTCGGGCTGTGAGCCCCTCGCCGATGATGAATGCGCCGGGCGGACACCTCGCCGATGACACGGATGTGCCCCGGAGCAGGAAGACGGAGGCCATAGCAATCTCGCCCTCACCTGCGTCCCGTTGCCGTCGCCGCCGCCGCGCCCTGAAGAGCAGCCCGACCGAGAAAGGCATCCGCATGTGTGTGTGACTGCGGCAATGTCGCGCCGTGCAAAGTTCAGGTGAAAATGAGGTCAACGCGGGAGAGTGCTAAACAAAATACATTGCGGCCTTTAGCATCGCAAGTTCAATAACTTGCTGTCGCGATGCGACCCGTCGGTGGTTCGGGAGCATTCGGGAGTGTGTCGTCGGTACAGTCCGGCCCCGCACGCGCGCCCTCTCACAGCGCCTGAGTGACGGCTGCTGGCGCGGCTGGCGCGGGCCCAGCTCTGGCGGCCACCAACACCACGGGGGCCGCGGTGACTGACGGCTCCGCTCTGCGGGCCTACCCCGTGCTGATTCCAACCCCGGATGCACAGTGCTCGGGGAGAGCGGTCGTGTACCAGAGCACAATGGACACCCCTCTGGTGCGGCCAGATGCCCCGTCCGGTTCCGGACGAACGGTCGGGCAGCAGCAGCAGCAGCAGCATCCGGCTGGTGCTGCGCGCACGAGCTGGGCCAGGTGCTAACCAAAGACGGGCCCCAGCAGGTGGTACCTCTTGTGCACCCCGAGCTGCTCGCCGAGCTGCTGCCCCTCGGCCCGGTCACGTGTGCGGACCAGGTGCGCGGCGTGCGCCCGGCCCGCATTCCTGGGGCGCTGAGGTGATAACACGACGCCGCGGTACTCTTTTTGTTTTCACCTGTCGGGATGTATAAGGGCCGTGCAAGCCCAGCGTCACGACCGACTGCTGGGTCGGCTGTTCTTCGCTTGCCGCGCGTCGCTTTTGTTTTCCCCCTGAAGCATCACCCTCTGCAGCTGATGTTGTATGGTGGAAGGAGAGGCCCTGGAAGGCCAACAGTTATGGGTGGAGCCGACTGGGCTGTATGGCGGGGACCACGGGGACCTTGGCCGCGAGCGCGCCGTGTGTACACCATGAGCACACCGTCCCGCCGCTGAGGCTTGTGTGTGTGTGTCTGCGCGCTTCGAGTGCGCTGCAGCAGATCAGCGCAGCGGCAGCGCCTGGGGCGACGCAGAATCCATTTGGGCTCTGCTGCTGCTGCTGCTAATGCTGCTGCTACTGCTGCTGCTGCTGCAGTGCGTTGTTGTGGAATAATGCAGCTGTCGGCAAATGAATGCTGGGCGCGGGGCGCGGGGCTCGGGGCGCGGGGCCTGCCGGCGGAGCAGGGCGGGGCAGCGCCGGCCAGCGGCATTTATTTCCCTTGGTAGAACAGTTTGAAGGTGAAAGTGCTGGGAGGGCGAGGAAAAGGTTGAGCGTGGCGGCGGGGCGTAGCCAGCCTGTCCGTCCCGGGGCGCCACGGCGGCCAGGACAGCAGCGGGGCGGCCGGCAAAGGCGGGCCGAGGAGAAGGAGATTGGCGTCGTTCGGGTCGGCGGCCCTTATTGTCTGCCGCGGGGAAGTCCGGCTCCGGCTCCTACAGCGCGCGCGGCCCTGGACTTGAACGCCACGCCCGCCACGCCCCGGCCCGCTCGCCGGGCGAAACAATCGTCGTCGCTGTCGTGGAGTGCGTGCGTCTCTGGCCGCCTGGGCCCCGCGAGCCTTGACTTGATCGGATCGGAGCCAATACAGCCGGGAACGCCCATCGGCCCAGTCCGTCCGTCCGCCCACACTGCTGTCGGCAGCTCGCCGCGCGGCCCGTGCGTCCGTCCGTTTGTCGTCCGACATAACTCTGAACCGGCCGTCCTTGCTCGCGCAAAAGTGCAGACAGACAGACGGACGGGCGGGCGGGTGCACGGGCGGCGGCGCACTCGCGCCCGACATGAATCGAAACGTCTTTTTGAGACGTGCCTGATGTGTGTACGGACGTGCCAGTGGCCGGCGGTGGGTGCAGAACACACGTGCCGTCAAGTCGGAGCTCGTGTGGCTCAGCTGCCCCTGCCCAGCCCCGCCCCGCCACGCCTCGCCACGCCGCGCCCCACCACGCCCCGGAGGTGTGGACGCAGCCTTGGACCGAGGCGCGAACACCCGCAGGGGGACAGGACCCGGCGAGTCCGGAGCGCGGCGTGTATATTGAATATTAGGAAGCGTTAGGCGGCGCACGGCGGCGCCCACTGCTGAGCCGGGCCGGGAGCATTGTGTTCGCAGCCGTGAGTCAGCCAGCCTCCAGCACCGTGACGATGCGCAGCCTGACTGGAGCGGCAAAGCGGCAGTGGAAAAAAATTGCGTTCGGAAAGGATACTCCGGGACGGACGTGTGCACCTGCTGCGAGCCCGCCCCCGCTCCGCCGCCCACCGGACGTACCTACCTGAACGCGATTCAGTGAGTCACTCTCGGCGGCGGCTGTGGCGTCACCATGGCGACGGCCGGGAGGGGCTCGGAGATGAGTTTGGTGGATGTCG